CGTGGAACTAACCATTCTTTTCTGGCTTTCGCCCACTGGGTCATCAGCTGTGAACCAAAAACTATGTTTCCTTGTCACGCCCAACGGCGAATGAGACATTCTTGTGACATGTTTTGAAGATAAAAAACTGATGAAAATTTGGTGAATGGTGCTGAAAAACAAATCAAACAGTGCCCTTTTGCTTCATCGCTGTTGCTCTATCCGCCTTGGTTAGCAAACTGACGGCTAGACACCTGCTGAGTCAATTTGTCTTGTATCTGGACAGTTCACCGCACCAGGGCAGTGAAGGTAGGGCAATAAATCGTTCGCTGGCCGCGGCTGCAGCTTGTTCCGGTCAGTTTGACCTTTTGACCGAGCGATAGTTTGACCTTCAAGCGATATCTGCGTGAAGTGACACATCAGAGTAAAATACATTGAGTATTCTTGTGCACCGAATATTTAGATCGTTCGGGCTTTTGGCTATGTCATGTATCACCCTACGCCCGGCATAGCCTTCAGGCACCACCAGCGTCCTATGCACTGTTCGCCCTGCCGGAGCCTGCCCCCAGGTAAACACCGCTGAACATATAGCAGCCCAGACCGAGCCGAGCCGCGGCCTTTACCAACCCTGTCTTCCCAGTCCCCAGCCATACCGTCGCAAGCCCTGCCGTCCCCAGTCCTGCCGTCCCCAGCTCTGCCGTCCCCCAGCCCTGCCGTCCCCAGCTCTGCCGTCTCCCAGCCGTGCCGTCCCCCAGCCGTGCCGTCCCTAGTGATCACCCCTGCCGTCCACAGCCCTGCCGTCTCTTGTCCCCTTGCCCTGCCGCCCCCAGTTCCCAGCCTTGCCTTCCTTAGTGCGCAAGCCCTGCCTTCCCTATTCCCCAAGCCCTGTCATCTCCAGATTCCAGCCCTGCCGTTCCCAATGCCCAGCCCTGCCGCCCTCAGTGCCCAGCCCTGTTGCTCCAATCCCTGCCGTCCTCAGTAGTTCCCAAACTTTGTCGTCCCTGGCCATTCCCGGCTCCCGACCCCGCCGCTCGCAGCCCGCAGCAGGTACGAGTACCGGTCGGTTGCCGGCCTGCCTGTCGCTCTGCATCAGGCCGGGTCGGCGGCGGGGACTGGGCCGGCCGTCCGTCCGTCATGGCTGCCGGTGGTGGCACGTGGCAGAGCTCCCACGGTCCGCCACCTCGCGGTGCCGCCGGCGGTACTGCCACCGGCCCGTTGTCAGGCCGGCCCCTGGCGCGGACTCGTCGCCGGTGAGACCAGCCGCCGCCGGCGCCAGGGGGCGTTGACTGAGAGGCGGGGTTGGCGAGTGGCGATGAGGGGGCAGCATTCCCTGAGGATTGCAGAGGCTGAGTGGGTTGTGGTACGGGCTGTCGGAGTACATTGGTGCGTAGTTGGCGTGGAATATGGAACGCCTCTTTTTGTGATATGTCGGCCTCCTAAATTTTCATGATGCGTACAGCACTTGAGGAGATAAGGCCTTACAAAAAGGCACTATCATTTCATTTTTTACAAGATCCAGGAACGGGCTAGCTTAAAATCCCCCTTAAAGAAATCGTGAACAGCAGAGAACTTATTTTGCTGTGGCGATACAAATGCTATATTGAAAGAAGCGCACGGTGCCAGTAGCCTTCCAATGGCCCAGTGTTAGAATCAAACTTTGCAAGGCTGTTACAGCGGAAAGATAAAGCTCCCGGTAAGATATCAAATGAGTGGAGATAGTGTGATGAAAGTATTGTAATGACAGCAACACAGCCCAACGCGGATCCAATCTAATGCAAAAGAATGAGATGATATAGCTTAAGGGATGGTCTGTCAAGACGTAGCTGTCTACCTTTTTCATCAAATTCTTTATTGGTACAATTTTACCTTTTGTATGTCCCATAGTACCATCACAAAAGCATGAAATGACAATCAAAGGAACTATTGTCATCTGCTAGCGTTAATGGATGTCGTTTAAAATGAAAATATTCGCCAGACTCATGCTTACTATCCATGCATGAATAAACGCCTACTTGATTATATCTCCTCTGACGTAAAACCAGCCAGCAGAGGTGATTCCCTATCACACAGCAAGTGCCCGATGGCAAGTTTGTTGGGCCAACACTGAGCTTCCCAGCTTTCTGACCTTCCCGGCATTGTGATGTCTGCGACGTTCCTAACGATGAAATGTGGTTTCGCGCGGGTTGGTTTCCCGCCGAATAAATGACTAGTCCACCCAAAAGTTGACACAAGTTGACTCGCTCGATAGCCACCTAGAATAAGATCATGTTTTGCGAACGGGCCCGGATTTGCGGCCGACGGCCGTCGTTGCACGTAAACCTTTGGTTGGAGTTCGGACTTAGAGAGCGTTCCTTATCTGTTCAGCTCCGCCTGTCGGTCGCAGCCCATTAGCCAAAGGTCGGGCCTGCGGTTAACAGGGGTACGGCGACGGATGCGGAAACAGCGATTCTCCAGACGATAATTGTGTCATATGCTGCGAACGGCTTCTTGCCATCTTAAGAAAAAAAATCTAACCGGTTATTTGTTACGCTCAATGCCGTATGGCAAAGTGTGCTCGTAATTGGGTGCATCCTTTCTTTGTGGGAAAACGTTAACATCGCGGGTGCTTCGCTACTTGGGATCTGTAGAGAACGCTGTACAGTATAATGGCTAAAACACTAGCAACGGTTTTATCTCATGATAACTTGACCGGTGCGAACAGAACTATCTTAAATTCTTCGGCACTGAACCACTTTGGGCAAGTTTTACAGTGTTTGGATCAGCAACAAAGGCATTACACACACACACACACACACACACACACACACACACACACACACACACACACACACACACACACACACACACACACACACACACCACACCACACACACACACACACACACACACACACACACACACACACACACACACACACACACACACACACACACACACACACACACACACACACACACACACACACACACACACACACACACACACACACACACACACACACACACACACACACACACACACACACACACACACACACACACACACACACACACACACACACACACACACACACACACACACACACACACACACACACACACACACACACACACACACACACACACACACACACACACACACACACACACACACACACACACACACACACACACACACACACACACACACACACACACACACACACACACACACACACACACACACACACACACACACACACACACACACACACACACACACACACACACACACACACACACACACACACACACACACACACACACACACACACACACACACACACACACACACACACACACACACACACACACACACACACACACACACACACACACACACACACACACACACACACACACACACACACACACACACACACACACACACACACACACACACACACACACACACACACACACACACACACACACAACACACACACACACACACACCACACACACACACACACACCACACACACACACACACACACACACACACACACACACACACACACACACATATATATATATATATATATATATATATATATATTATATATATATATATATATGCGCTGTTGTAAGCACTCAATGCGCCGTAAAACTCTCAATGTGCTATTTACGAACAGCCATTTTTTTCAACGGCTCAAGTAAGCCAGAACAGAAACACGAATAAACAAACAAATGGCCAGAAAAAGAGCAAAGAAATGCAGACATGCAGATTTACGTAGAGATCCGCCGGTGTCTGATTAGAAAGATTTATGTCGTCATCCCGACCGCCTCATTTCCTGACGCCAGCAAAAGTAGTCTCCAAAGTTTGCCTACGGTTAACCCGAAGAATCTTAGAAGTTTAGTGCCGATAATCGCATTCCTATATTTGACTGCACGGGATCTCGAGCTTATGCCGCACAGATCCACCAATCAGCCATCGAGGCCTGGCACGGCCATCAAAATCTGACAAATGCAAGAGATGACGCTTTCGTTTGGCTTGTGGCAACATTCCTAGAAGTTGTATGCCACTCCCGCGATCCCCACGGCTCCAACGCTCTGTTACCTAGTGATTTGGCTTGGATCCAAACCAAACGCAAAACTTGTTACACTTCATTTTGCTTTGCTTCTCTCCACGGACCGCTGCCACGATAGTTCCAGAGGTGACCGGTCATGTGCCAGCGCCAACCAGCATCTCCTCTGCGCTGAGAATATTTTTCACAGCCGTCGAATCATGAGCACTTGGACTCTGTGCCGGCTTGGAACGAACCATGCTGCGCTTCTATTGCACCCCTCCTGCGTCTCTCTAATACCCCTTACTTCTGCTCCTCGTCGGCCAAGTCGCCTCCTGTGCCCCTCCTGTCCCTCTCGCTTGCCTCTCCTGCGCTTCTCGGCGAGAGCCGCTCTTACTCTGCTCTCCCCTGTGCGTCAGCAACATTCGGTGGTCACGCGGCCTGTGAGTGGCCCGGGACCCCAGCGGCACTCGTCGCAAGCGATGCCGACTGAGCTGACAGCAAGCCTGATCAGAGCCGGCTTCGAGCCAGTCGGCCGTCGTCCGACGAGGCCCCGAGGTGGCTGGAAGCGGCGGTCTGCTGGCCAACCGCTAGTTATCGTCATCTACCGATGTGAACGTAGCTTGAACAACCATTAAACCGCAATAAATGGGTGCTGGCAGCACATATTCCGTGGGGGGGGGGGGGGGGCATGGGAGTCTATTGGTGTTGTTTGACTTGACGTGTACTATCTCTTTTCCTCCAACTAAATGGTTTTTCCCCTCGTCCTCTCTCCTCCACTCCTTCTCCCAATGGCTCCTCATATGCATTGATATATATATATATATATATATATATATATATATATATATATATAACCTATATACAATACTTCTCCCGTTTCTCTCTCATTCACCTTCACGTGCTTCCCACGCCCTGTCCTTCCTCTCTTACCCTACGCCTTTTCCAGCATCAACCGGCCAAAGCCCTGTACTCACCGCGAGCACGGTGGCCACCGTTCCAACGGCAATTGCGGCAACCAGCAGCCACGGCATGTAGTTCTGCCGCCCGCCGCCGCCGCCGCCGCCGCCGCCGCCGCCCGTCGCCAGCCGCTTCCTTAAGTGCAGTTGCCCGGCCCGGGGCAGGTCCTTGCCGGCCGGGGGCGGCGCCCGCACTTCGGCCACGCGCGGCTCCTCTGCGGCCGGAGCGGACGCCCGCGGAGGCTGGCGCAGCAGAGCCTGGCGAATGGCGTCCAGGGTGGCCGCACCGCCCTGCTGGGAGGGCGCTGGGCGGGTTTCATCGTCGCCGGCGGCGGCTGGCGAGCGCTCGTCGGACCAGGAGGGACCGGCATCCGGCTGGGGCAGGAGGTGACCCTCCGATGGGGAGGGCTGTGCCGGTCTGGGATCGGATCGTTCGTTCTGTGGCTCGCTGTCGTCAAACCGGTCGTCTTGGATTGCATCCGCTGCGGACCAGTCGTCTTGGGTCTGGTCGAGCGCGGACCATTCGACTCGCTTTTGGACGCCGCTAAGCCACTCGTCCTGACCTCGACTGGGGTGGTCTTTGAGCTGCTCATTCAGTGGAGACCAGTTCCGTTCAGGGCGCCCGAGCTGAACCCAGTCGCTTTTGCGCTGATCGAAATCGGGCCAGTCCTCATGAAGCCGGTGGCGATCCGGCCAGTTGACCTGTGAGGCCGATGGGTCAGCCCATTCGTCTCCGGAGAGGTCAATGCCATATCCCTGGCCGTGGGACGGGCCGATCTTGATCCAGTCGTCCCCAGCCGACTTCAAGCCATAGCCGTGCTCCGCAGAAGGTCCGAGCTCGAATTCGGCGTCAACGTCTGCTCCTAAATCATAGCGTGCATTTTCGTGCGGCACGCGACTTCCCAGATCATTAGGGTCCGCGTATCGGGCGGAACTGCTTCGTGAAGGAAAAAAACGATTTAGGAAGGGGCTGTACTCGACGACCTGGTCCGAACCGTCCTGGAGTTCATAGCTGACCGTCAGGGCTGTGAACAAAGTACACAGTTGTTAGTGGAAGGCATGGAATGTCCCGGTCCATACGGAATTCCAGAACAATTTTTAGCAAACGCCAATGCCTGCTTGCGCCAGGCTTATTAACACACGAACGATCATCTCATCACAGGAGCTTGTCGACCATGTCAGGTATGCACCACCCGCCTTAGATCCCGAGCAGACGCCATTCTTCCAGAGCGGTCCAGTAATTCGGCAGTGATCTCTCGGCGTGCGCTTGCTTGATTGGCGTCCGACCAGACATTGCCCACAGGGGTTGGCGGCCACCCGTTTGACAGTCGCCACAGCGCGGCACCAATCCAGTCGGCGCGTCGCTCGTTCACTAATGCAGGCCGGGCCGCGCAACAAGCCCGACTGCTGGGCGCGTCTGTCAGCCGTCGGATCGCTGGGACGAGGAGCGCCCGGCCCCTCGTCCATCATGCATGGCCGGCCGGGGCCTCTGGAGGCGGAGGGGCGACAAAAGCGGCTCAGCCGCCGCGGAACATCTCTGGCATGTCCGGGGCTGACTGCTCGCGGTGCTAGTGGGAGCGGACAGATATCATGCGCTTTCGAGGAGAGCGCTGGGAGGCCGGTACGGGACGAGATAGACTACCTGTCGGCTTCCGCTGTCCACCATTCTGAGTACTTGTTATTAGCATGTGTCAGGAAGACTGCGTTGCAGGATGGCACAAGCCGATTTGTAAGCCCTTCTTGAGAAAAACACTTCGATCTGGCTCCAATTCTTTAATGAAGTTTAGATTGTAGATCAAATTACAACAAATATCCATTTCGCAATCCAATCTGCGTTGCAATAGTTACGTTCAAAACGTTCTTTCCTCTATTTTCGACTACTGTTTGCCTCCAAATTAGTGGGCCAGTATAGCACTGTAATGGTTTGATCCCTTAGGCACCTGCTCGACGCCACAATACAGTCTGATAGCATAAGATGCCGAGAAATGTAAAGTTTCATTAATTGTCTGTCAGTAACTGCCCATATAGAACGATTCAGCTCTTTACAAGCTGTTTCTATTTAAGAGCATGCGATGCTATATAGGTTCGGTCGCCCATTCTAGCACTATGCATGCCGAAGAGGCCTCACTCTCACCTTTATGTCAGGGAACTGAGACCTCATCAAACGACGAGAACGTGTGTGATCATGAACTTGTTTCTTCAATCGGGCCTCACGTGCGAACCACGATTAAATTGTCATATGACCAACAACCAATTTTCTAATGCCACATGTAAATGCCCAATGACGGGCTCCTCATCCAGGGACTTATAATGCGATCCCAGCGAGTGACGATGGTGGCAAGACTGCTGGGAATTTCTTGAGCCTTCCTAAAATATTCAATCACGTTCATTTTCTGAACGCCATACCATCAGAGCCAGAGGAGTGTCTACAAAAAGGAGGTAACCGAATCTGCCTTTAAAGAAGATAAATATGTATCGCCATAGGCGGGGGCGGCTCCAGAGGGAGGGGGAGGGGGGGCACGGGTCCATGCCCACCCACCCACCCTTGGGCCCCGAAGGGGCCTATTCAATTGTGTTCGGGTGCAATTCATCTTTCGGGGGCCCTCTGTGTCGGATTTTAGGTATTCTTATTTGAATGAAGGGTCTTACGCTCTAGTCGGGGCCCCTTCTGATAAGATGCTCGGGCCCATCGATCGTGGTAGATCTCTGCATTTGGTTTTGGGTACTTCCTTTTTGAATGGAGGGCCTTTTGTTTTTTTCGGGGAGCCCAGTTGTTAACCTGTTCTGGCGCACTCGATTATTCGGGGGCCTCTATATCGTGTCGCGGGCATTTCATATTTGAACGGAAGGCCATACGCTCCTGCCGGGGCCCCATCTGTTAACCTGCTCGGGCACACTCGAATATCCGGGGCCCTCTACATTGTGTCTTGGGTACTCCCTATCTGAATGGAGGGCCCAACGCACTTTGTCGGGGGCCCTCTGCTTCCTCGGCTACACTGGATTGTTTGGGGGTCCTGCATATTGGGTCTTTGGCGTTTGAATTTAGGGCCCTACACTCCTGTAAGGGCCATCTGATAATCTACTCGTGTACCCTCCATCTTTCGGGGCCCTCCGCACTAGGTTTTGGGTACTTCTTATTTGAATGGGAGGCCCTACGCCCTTGTCGGGCTGCCTCTGATAACCTGCTCGGGCACACCCGATCATTCGGGTTCACTTAGCTGGATTTTGGGTACTTGCTATTGATATGGAGGGCCCTACGCTCTTGACGGGGACCCTATATTTCAACCTGCTCGGGCACACTCGATCGTTGGAAGCCCTACATATATGGTCGTAAATATTTATTATTTGAATGGATGGCCCCATGTTCTTGGCGGGCCCCGTCTATTATGCTGCTCTGTGGCCGGTGACGGATGCAAGGGGGGGGGGGGAGGAGAGGCACGGGGTTATGTCCCCATGGACCATGCCGAGAGGACCCGAAGACTCTAAATGGGCCCATGACCGACCGAACAGATGCAGTTCTCTGACAACAAAACTGGACGCCTTTGGACTACAAACGACTAAGAACAGTTGCTAGCAAAAGTAAAGAGTTCATGAGCAGACGAAGTTAATTCTTCCTTGCTTGAAGAGGTGTTGCTTAGGGGAAAATTTTGGGTCTCATTGCGCTGTCCAGAGGCTTTATGCTGCTGCCCGGGCCCTATATGTCCATTTGCTGGGTCAATCTGATCGCTAGAGAGCTCTCCATGTTGCGTTTTGATTTCTTTGCATTTTCCCGTAGGGCCCAACGCTGCTGCTGGCACGCTATCTGCTTCCATGCCTGGGCACTCTTGATCGATTAGGTTTTCCTCCACAGATTGTTCTCATTCACCCGTAATGCTCTATGCGCTTTTCCGGGGCCCCATATGCCAGGGTACACTGAGTTGCTTAGAGGCCCTTCATATTAGTCTCCGGTTCTTTCCACTTGCGTGGAAAGAACCGGAGTTGCACACCTTCCACGTAGCAACACGGCCCCAGCAACAGCACAAGGCGTGCTGTTGCTGGGGCCTTTATAAGGTAAGGCACAGAGTCACTCGATGCTCAGGGGCCCTCTACCTTGATCGAGGAATATTTCCCTTTGATCTCATTTGCGGAGGACTCCTCACTCCTATCGAGACTCTTTCTGTTAACATGCTCTTACACTCTTGATCGCACAGGGGTTTTAATTCATGGCCTTGGGTAATTCCCCTTCGCTCAGAGGGTCTTGCGCTCTGGGTGGGCCTTCGTACGTCAGCCTGCCAGGGCACTACCGGTGGTTTAGGGATCCACCACGTTCGTCTTGGGTTCTTTTTGCTTGCTCTAAGGATCATATGCTTGTTGACGGGAGCCACTTTGTTGGCCTCCTGTGGCACCCATGATCGCTCGGGTTTCGTCCAATTGCTTATGGTGTTTTCGCCTTAGAGCAGTAGGTGAATATGCGCCGATGAATTTTTACCCGCAATTACCGAACGTAATTTTACATGCCGCCGACGTCGTATGTGTCATTTCCATGGGTTATTGAGTGCGTGACACTTATTATGCTAATGCATCACGTTCTAAGCATACTTTGAATGAGAGGATATGTTGTGCTCCTTTATAATAAAGGAAAAATCCTGCGTTAATCATCAGCCATCAGCTGATTACATCGCCCAGCCGGCTAGCCGTAAATACATAAGCTAAGAATCAAGCCCATGTTCGGTTTTGATGGTTGTTAGCAGACAACACAAGTTCATTTTGCCTGTTGTTCAGAACCACATAGCCTGAAGATCACAGCACTTTACGTGATCTGTAGAAAATGTGTGAACCCTGTGCGTGAGCATGCGTAGCACGCGTGGCTGTTAGGGCTGTGCACAGTGAGATGAGCTTTCGTATGTATGAAATCAATGAATAAGTAAGTAAATATATATATATATATATATATATATATATATATGTATATGTTATCATATATAATAAGTAAATACTCACACATATCTATATATATACACATATATAGACCTATATATATATATATATATATATATATATATATATATATATATATATATATATGAGCCCCTTGACGAAATCCTGCATC